TACTCCTTCACGGCGAGCCAAGATTGCTGCATCCTGACAGACTGCACCTTGTCTTCGCACTGCCGCTCGCATGCCACGCTGACAGTGCTGAGAGTGGGACTCGTCGCACCACAAGCTTCTACCGCCGAAGCCATGACGTCGACGAACCAGCTGGCAGCCGCATACTAAGCAGACTCTACCGCAAGAGAGGAAAGGGGAATATCAGGAAACAAGCAAAACAAGCTTCATCGTGTGTTTATGCCTGACACACTGCCTGCCGAGTTGCTGACATCGCCTGTCTCTAGAACTGCCGAGCACGCAAAATCATTCGCACGTGATCCTGTTGCGCACCTCACCAACACAAACCAACGTTCACGCGCACATCGCCCAACGAAGGAAAGCCAGTCGCGGCCGAGCCCAACCGGGAGCCAACGACCGGGAATCCCGCGGCCGACCACCTGGGCCACCATCTCTCGCTCACGACCCGCACCAGCTCTGTCACCAGCCCCTTCTGCCAAGCGACAAGTCGTAAAGAGTAGTCTGAGAATTGTAATCAGGCGCATGTTTTCTGTATATAAATACATATATATATATATATATATATATATATATATATATATATATATATATATATATATATTATATATAATATATACATATATATTATATATGTGCATATCTATATACACGCATAAATATGTGTGTGTGTGTGTGTGTATATATATATATATATATATATATATATATATATATATATATATATATATATATATATATATATATATATATATATATATTATGTGCGTGTGTGTGTATGTGTGTCTGGGTTTGGGTCTGATCGCGTGCGCAAGTTCTTAGAGAAATAATAGTACACTGACATCTTTTTATAAATCTAAAAACATTTCCTTCTCTACATATCAATAGTATTATTGTTCGTTTTTCGTGATTTGAGTCCTCTTACGCGTCAAAGATGAGGAGTTTGGGCTTACAATGATCATGGTAATTAGAGATTAGCTTATTTCAAACTTCATACCAGTCTGGCTTTTATTTAACAAGATACCTTTCTAGGAGTTCTGGATCTATATTCTCGCTGTTTGGGACAGGAATTTTACAACTCTGAATGGAAACAGAAAGGTATTTAAAAAAATAAAAATAAAAATAAAAAATTGGCAATTCAGGAACGATATGTCTGCATTGTAACTGGCGAAGACGACGACGAATTTCACTTCCCACTGGAATACCAGCTGAATAGCGAGCTTAGATAAGAATTATTTTACCAATATAAAACACTTAATCCAAAGTTTCAAGACGAAATATAAGCATATACTTATTCTTAGGAAGGGAAAAATTATCAGAGATTCAGTAAATTTCGTTATCCACGCACAAAGCGCAAGAAAAACACTAACACAACATGGGTGATAATTTCTGTACACTTATTATGCCCAGCGCCACACTTTCACACTTAGAACTTGTAACTTGTGCTGTTCTCTCTCGATTAATGAAGTAAGGAGAGTAGCTAATAAGTTGGGATTATCCATCACATGGTGACAAAGGATAACGCCATCCAATCCGGAGTTGGCAACACCTTACAGTCACTCTCGGTTCAAGTCTAAGTGTTGCCAAACCAAAACTTTTAGGTTTATTGACAAATACTATACGTTTTCCTTTTGATGAATGATAGCAGTTGTGATGACATATGCTTCAGCTGTAGACGCCACCCTTCCTAAATATTCCTAAGTATTCTATTTCATGCCTATTGGAAGTGACTGATAAGAAATAACTGTTGCTTCTTTATTTAATATGAAATGACAAGCACATGTGCCCGTGAGTACCAAATAAATCCATCCCAGTATTTCCTTAGGACCAAAAATACTCGGGGAGGCATTCCACTGCCCTGAAGATATTTAAACAGTGTTTCGTTGTGGTAATAATAGCTCATCTTGTGGCAATCTGGCAACCCTCGCTGTATCTGTGACCGTTTACTATACAGTCATCATGAGTATCATCCACTTTTCATTGCGCTGTATTTTGTTTTAAATATATTCATGTATACGGTATAATTACTTTTTAAAACGGATGTCAACCGGACGAATACTGCAGCTTCCTTGCTTCTAACAATTACTCACCTCTTGTCTTACGCGTCAACCACTGCGCGGAGCCCTGAGGATATTGGCAACAGTGTTCCTCGTAGTGTTTGCACCTCCTACAGATGCACTTACTACTTAGGGTATTTCATATGAATCATATCCCTCGCAGCTCACTAACATGCATCCTGACATCTGATCCAAAGGCATTCAGTCTACATTCCGTTTCATGCAATTGCTCATCTAACTGGACATCTGAACCACTGTTGGCACTCACCGCCTGGAGGCTCCGATGTATTATGTATTTTCTCTTCGGTTAGACTCGGACACAATTGTTTTTGCCAGTTTTCAGAGCGTGATTTTTTTCCTTCTCTTTCATGGAACGAGAAGGAAGAGAGAGAGACGAAGACGGAGACAGAGAAAGAGAGAGAGGCAGACACACACATACACACAGAAAGAGAGAGAAAGAGAGACGGAGACGGAGACAGACACAGAGAGAGAGGCAGGCACACACACAAAAACGCACACACGGAATGAGGGAGATAGAGATATGGAGACGGAGACAGACAGAGGGAGAGAGGCAGGCACGCACACACATACACATACACATACACACACACACACACACACACACACACACACACACACACACACAGAAAGACAGAGAGATAGAGATATGGAGACGGAGACAGACACAGAGAGAGAGGCAGGTACACACACACAGAAAGACAGAGAGAGAGGTACGAGATGGAGAC